TCATCACTCCCAGCCTACTCACACCAGCCCGTTATTTTGTTTTTTGTTTTGTTTTACGAGTGGTTTCACGTAGCGTGATGTAACATTGTTTTATATTATGTCGTGCTCTAAGAGATTAGGATATCTTACCCATGATGATCGATCAGAATTTGTATACTTTTCGTAAGATACATGTACTTACACGTTCTCCAGAATAACATACTCACTAAGTAAGGGAATACCTGCAAATACTCACAGAAGCTTGTAGGCCATACATCGTAACTAACTCGCTGATTTTATTCCACTTACAAATTAAAGTTACATTCACTGATACTTGATATCTTAATCTTACGTTAACGCGGTCATTATATCACTCATTCACCGAGTCTTGAAAATAAATTTATTCACTTAATTTTGTACGTTCTACTTGAGATTTGCTCACCTATTAAAACTCGTACCTTAAAATCTGATAACATCCAAATTTACTGAAGATCGTAGACTCCACTACATGTAATAAAACTTTGGAATGAATTCTTTCTCTAAAGCTCTGCCTTTTACTTGATAATCGACTGACCCATCAAAACTCACTCACTGAAGGTCGTAAGTTCATCTTAAAATCAATCACCCCTTGGTACTCGGTTGCATTTGTAAATTCATTAACTCGCTTAAAATTGTATATAGGCTATACTTCTAAAGCTGGTACATAGTACATGGTATTTAATTGTATATAGGCTATACTTAACTATGAACTTCTAAAGCTGGTACATATAATACATGGTATTTAATTGAATCGTTGAAATATGTACATTACCCACCTCCTCTTGTCTCCAAATCTTCACATAATTAATCTTTAATTCCACGTTTTGTTCAGTGTAAAGCAAACTGTATCTATTACCAAATTGTACAGGTACAGTCAGATGTGTGTGTCTTACTCTCATCTTTCAATGACAAGATCCTCTCATTGTCTCTTTTGACCCATTCCTCAGCGATGGGACCTGTTGGCCTGATTTGTATGACGACCTATCATGGCTAGTATTCTATGTACGCCACACAATGGTAGCAATTACCCGCTTGAAAGGTTATTCTCACCATAATGTATGAAACATGAAAGGGAACCCTTTATCTACTGATACTCAGTATAATGGAGAACTGGATAATGTGGTATTATTTGACAGTATATCGGCAGGTTCATGATACAAACAGTAAGACCAGGACTGTGGTGTCAGGGTTATGTAAAGTTGAGCCTTATTAAATCAGCTTCCATACACCTAGTTGTGGATTGGTGTTAGCTGATTTAGGAATGGCAGAAGTTTCCAAGTACAGTGATTCGCCTCACTATCAAGTTCACAACAAAAGTTGCTGGAGTATATGGGAATGGAAGGTTGCTAGATTATGTGGGAAACGAGAATTGCCGGATTATATTTGAAACGAAGATTGCTGGATGATATTGGAAACGAAGATTGCTGGATTATATTTGAAACGAAGATTGCTGGATTATACTGGAAACAATGATTGCTGGATTATATTGGAAACGAAAATTGCTGGATTATATTGGAAACGAGGATTGCTGGATTATATTGGAAATGAGGATTGATGGATTATATTGGAAACGAAGATTGCTGGATTATATTGGAAACGAAGATTGCTGGATTATATTGGAAAGGAAGATTGCTGGATTATTGGAAACGAGGATTGCTGTATTATATTGAAAACGAAGATTGCTGGATTATATTGGAAACAATGATTGCTGGATTATATTGGAAACGAAGATTGCTGTATTATGTGGGAAACGAGGATTGATGGATTATATTGGAAACAAAGATTGCTGGATTATATTGGAAACGAAGATTGCTGGATTTTACTGGAAACAATGATCGCTGGATTATATTGGAAACGAAGATTGCTGGATTATATTGGAAACGAGGATTGATGGATTATATCGGAAACAAAGATTGCTGGATTATATCGGAAACGAAGATTGCTGGATTATACTGGAAACAATGATTGGTGGATTATATTGGAAACGAGGATTGATGGATTATATCGGAAACAAAGATTGCTGGATTATATTGGAAACAATGATTGCTGGAGTATATTGGAAACGAAGATTGCTGGATTATTGGAAACGAGGATGGCTGTATTATATTGGAAACGAAGATTGCTGGATTATTGGAAACGAGGATTGCTGTATTATATTGAAAACGAAGATTGCTGGATTATATTGCAAACGAAGATTGCTGGATTATATTGCAAACGAAGATTGCTGGATTATATTGCAAACGAAGATTGCTGGATTATATTGGACACGAGGATTGCTGGATTATATTGGAAACAATGATTGCTGGAGTATATTGGAAACGAAGATTGCTGGATTATTGGAAACGAGGATTGCTGTATTATATTGAAAACGAAGATTGCTGGATTATATCGGAAACGAAGATTGCTGGATTATACTGGAAACGAAGATTGCTGGATTATACTGGAAACAATGATTGGTGGATTATATTGGAAACGAGGATTGCTAGATTATGTGGGAAACGAGAATTGCTGGATTATATTGGAAACAAAGAGGATTATATTGGAAACGAGGATTGCTAGATTATGTGGGAAACGAGAATTGCTGGATTATATTGGAAACAAAGAGGATTATATTGGAAACGAGGATTGCTAGATTATGTTGGAAACGAGAATTGCTGGATTATATTGGAAACAAAGAGGATTATATTGGAAACGAGGATTGCTGGATTATGTGGGAAACGAGAATTGCCGTATTATATTGGAAACGAAGATTGCTGGATTATACTGGAAACAATGATTGGTGGATTATATTGGAAACGAGGATTGATGGATTATATCGGAAACAAAGATTGCTGGATTATATTGGAAACGCAGATTGCTGGATTATGTGGGAAACGCGGATTGATGGATTATATTGGAAACGAAGATTGCTGTATTATATTTGAAACGAAGATTGCTGGATGATATTGGAAACGAAGATTGCTGGATTATACTGGAAACGAAGATTGCTGGATTATACTGGAAACGAAGATTGCTGGATTATACTGGAAACAATGATTGGTGGATTATATTGGAAACGAGGATTGCTTGATTATATTGGAACCGAAGATTGCTGGATTATATTGGAAAGGAAGATTGCTGGATTATTGGAAACGAGGATTGCTGTATTATCTGGATGATATTGGAAACGAAGATTGCTGGATTATTGGAAACGAGGATTGCTGTATTATCTGGATGATATTGGAAACGAAGATTGCTGGATTTTACTGGAAACAATGATCGCTGGATTATATTGGAAACGAGGATCGCTGGATTATATTGGAAACGAAGATTGCTAGATTATGTGGGAAACGAGAATTGCTGGATTATATTGGAAACAAAGAGGATTATATTGGAAACGAGGATTGCTAGATTATGTTGGAAACGAGAATTGCTGGATTATATTGGAAACAAAGAGGATTATATTGGAAACGAGGATTGCTAGATTATGTTGGAAACGAGAATTGCTGGATTATATTGGAAACAAAGAGGATTATATTGGAAACGAGGATTGCCGGATTATATTGGAAACGAAGATGGCTTGATTATATTTGAAACGAAGATTGCTGGATTATATTGGACACGAGGATTGCTGGATTATATTGGAAATGAGGATTGCTGGATTATATTGGAAATGAGGATTGATGGATTATATTGGAAACAAAGATTGCTGGATTATGTGGGAAACGCGGATTGATGGATTATATTGGAAACGAGGATTGCTTGATTATATTGGAACCGAAGATTGCTGGATTATATTGGAAAGGAAGATTGCTGGATTATTGGAAACGAGGATTGCTGTATTATCTGGATGATATTGGAAACGAAGATTGCTGGATGATATTGGAAACGAAGATTGCTGGATTATTGGAAACGAGGATTGCTGTATTATATTGAAAACGAAGATTGCTGGATTATATTGGACACGAGGATTGCTGGATTATATTGGAAACAAAGATTGCTGGATTATGTGGGAAATTGCTGGATGATATTGGAAACGAAGATTGCTGGATTATTGGAAAAGAGGATTGCTGTATTATATTGAAAACGAAGATTGCTGGATTATATTGCAAACGAAGATTGCTGGATTATATTGGACACGAGGATTGCTGGATTATATTGGAAATGAGGATTGCTGGATTATATTGGAAATGAGGATTGCTGGATTATATTGGAAACAATGATTGCTGGATTATAAAGGAAACGAAGATTGCTGGATTATATTGGACACGAGGATTGCTGGATTATATTGGAAATGAGGATTGCTGGATTATATTGGAAATGAGGATTGATGGATTATATTGGAAACAAAGATTGCTGGATTATGTGGGAAACGAGAATTGCCGTATTATATTGGAAACGAAGATTGCTGTATTATATTTGAAACGAAGATTGCTGGATTATATTGGAAAGGAAGATTGCTGGATTATATTGGAAAGGAAGATTGCTGGATTATTGGAAACGAGGATTGCTGTATTATCTGGATGATATTGGAAACGAAGATTGCTGGATTATATTGCAAACGAAGATTGCTGGATTATATTGCAAACGAAGATTGCTGGATTATATTGGAAACGAAGATTGCTGGATTATTGGAAACGAGGATTGCTGTATTATATTGAAAACGAAGATTGCTGGGAAGATTGCTGGATTATATTGCAAAGATTATGTGGGAAACGAGGATTGATGGATTATATTGGAAACGAAGATTGCTGGATTATACTGGAAACGAAGATTGCTGGTTTATATTGGAAACGAAGATTGCTAGATTATGTGGGAAACGAGAATTGCTGGATTATATTGGAAACAAAGATTGCTGGATTATATTGGAAACGAAGATTGCTGGATTATGTGGGAAACGAAGATTGCTGGATTATGTTCCATTCTACACATCTTTGCAAGTAATTTTGCGATGTGCAACACATTAAATTGATATAGGGAATAACACTTCAATTAAAACTAAAAATATGTTAATCATTTATTAATCAAAACGACGTTCATAAAAATAACGACCATTATATAAATCTATGACATTTTCAATCATAAATCGGTGTCGATCGTGTAAAAACATTGACTGGATTTCATATTGTGTTATGTTTTTAATATTGCAGTACATTATACAGCACGTCATAGAAATAATATTGCGCCATATTTACAAAATAAATCACAATGTCATTTTATTCAATATATATCAATAATGATATCGTTCCAATTAATCGAGGTGGATGGCTAAAATGTGCTCCCTGTTTTCTACCGTTCGTATCAGTACAATGCATCTATAACAGAGACAGACTATTTAACAAACAAAATGACAGTTGTTGTATTTAATTCGTTGACGCAATAGGGTCAAAATATCGCCATTACCAGGAGTAATATTTGACAGGTATGTGAATGTTAGCTAGCCACTTATTACCACTTGAACATCAGTACACAGTATAGCACGTGCTAAACAGTATTGAAAATTGCCAGTAAGTGGGTGGAAATTCATGCTGCAGACGCAACTCCTGACCCTAGCTGACAATTCAACGTAAGCTAAAACTGCAAATTATCACAAAACGCAGGAAACGTAACACAGAACCCAAACACTTAATTACGACACAATACACACAGACATTGTAGGAGAGACGTGGAAAATGGCACATGAAAATTCTATCGTGAATACCTAATGAGGTCCTGACTCACCGAAACAGTGTTAACATATCTCAATCAGGAAATATAGAAAATGATTCATTTGTATAAACATATAATTGGAAAGCTAGTCAGTTTTCGTCCGGTGTGCGGAATACTGCATTAATTGTACCGTTATGTATGCTGTTTGCGCACCAATTAACGGGCGGATCTAGGCTGCTCGGCTAAAATTAGAAGGCCATGGGTGTAAAATAATTATCATGACATTTTATATCAATTATATAGCTCCAATATGTGCGCCTGTATTTTGGTTCTTAAATATCTGTCACAAAAGTTTTAAATCATCGTTGGCCTCTTTTAGTGCAAGTCAGCGAATATTGTTCTGAATCCATTTTAGCAAGGACATATGTAAGTCTATCTCCAGGGCACACAAACTAGAAGTGCATAATGATATATAACGCTAACATAATATTTTACAAAACGTGTCATTTACCATTCTTCTTTAACCATAATAATTCACTACTGACCAACAGCATAGACAGATTATTCGACACCATCTTGTCAACATAACACATGGAAAATACTTATAAAATTATAATACAAATTACTGATCTTTAAACAAGACGATATGACTAGCACCGGTGTCCTAATTTTGACAGGACATATACTGTCGATAATAAAAAAAAACCAGCATAAAACAATACAAAATAAAGAAGGAAAAGCAGTCCGTCCTTTCAATATTGCAGTATTTAGCATGCACTAAAGTATTTGAACAGTACCGTTTGAGTATGTAACTCAACACTCCCAGTAGACGGCGGTATATTGCACAGTTGCCCACCACTAAATCACTTTATAATCACATATCGATTTGGACACTCAATGACCCGTGGACCTTGTCAATATGTTTCTGATAAACATGGCGATCCGTTTGAGGTCGAGGAAACCGACGCCGGGTAAGTCCTTCTGGAGGTTATCGACGTCCATATTGAGTAACTCTTCAATGCTAATGTTTCGATCTGTAATGCTGTTTCTGGCTTTTGTGGTCACTCCTACGTCTCTTAGTTCTTGTTCAAAGAGTTCAGGCGACATTGTTATACAGTTAGACTCCGTCCTCTTACAGTGCTTGAGTTGATAGTGTACTGGTTGGTCATCAATGATGTCAACATTACCAGACTCTTCACTGTTTGTTAAAATGTTTCCCGATACTGTTTCGGAAACCATGTCCGTTTTCTCGGAATATGTGCGAACCGGTTTCGGTGATACTGGAGGAGGGGATGGTTTACTTTGTGTAGATAAACCAGTATTTGAATCATATTGACTAGGCAGCTCTAGACTATCAGACACTGATTCTCGCCGATTTTGATTCGATTCGGGGTTTTGTCCTTCAATAGCATCAACCCGAATGTCTTCATTACAATGAAGTGTGTATTGATAGTGGTCCTCACCCTCTTTGTCCTGACACTGAGACTCTTCCTCACCGAATTTGTTTTCACTACATGGTTCTTCGATGCGATCTTCAGACAATTTATCGTCACTCAAAATATTCTCTTGCTTAGTATGTGGTTCTTGATCCACATACTCAATGCTGTTCAGATTGATCTCTTCGGTGTTATACGCGTTTTCTGTTCCGTCTGTAATATTGGGTTGATCAGTGTTATCGTTCATTTCGTTGTTTGAAATTTCCTGTTTCTCCGTATCTTCAAGTGCCTTTTCAGACTCGTTGCCTTGGACAAAAACTGCATCAGAAAATTCAGTTAACGGGTCATGATCACCTGAACTCGTCTTGATACCTCCATCAATCCGATCCGTGACGTCATCAAGTACCACAGTAGTATCACTATCATTATCGACCGGCTCTATAGCAACTGTCACGCCATCACTACCCCCTTCACTTGTCTCGACATCCTCAGTACCACAGTTCGCATACGTGTGTGTGACGGACTGCGAGTGATGGGGGGCAGGAGGCTGTTCTAGTTCGACCAGGTCAGAATTCATAAGATCAACGTAATCCTTGTCCGACATTTTTACCATTCCGCATGGTGGGTATGAATCACAACCGGGTATGTCGGGTATGACGTCATAAACGTTATCGTCATCCTCTTTCGAATCCACTTTCTTGTCCATCGCATCATGTATCAATTCTATATTATTGTGCGGCCCGGAATGGCATGGTGAGGCTTCAAAGACGCTGTCCAGCGTATCCGACAGTGTCGAACCACAAGATGACCCGGAACATTTAGTTGGCGGTGTGTCTAAATCACTCTCTTCTAGAGCAGAAGGAGAAACGTAAGAGGGTGACAGGTTTAGAGAATCACCATCTCCTGGCGGGGAGGAAGGTGAGTGTGGTTTGTTGTAATACTCAGGAGAATCAGGAGATCCGAGATACCACGAAAAGCAGGATGGCGTCGAATCGTCTCCCGCAATGATAGACTCCGTCACGTTTTGAAGTTGTATAAGTTTTTCCTGAATTTCTTTCATACCTTCAATGTTCTCGTAGCGAGGGTTCTCGGTGGGAAAGTCATGTTCGTGTATGGTCTCCGTGGGACTCATCAGCCTCCCATCCTTGTTCAACATTTCGGACGGTGCGCTTGACACTCTGTTCTTGTTGGATTTAGATTTACGTTTGTTAAATGGAGATGATTTGGGTATAGCGCCAAGATTGGAATCTGAGATGAGGGGCATGGTATCGAAGTTCGGCGGAGCACTTACACGCCGTGTTGGAATCTGTGGGATGTCGTAGGTGATGTCGTCATCCGGATTCTGTTCACTTTCGGCGAATATAAAAGTAGACGGACGTCGAGTGTCTGTTAAACCTACATCCGAAATACCACTGTCTTGTGATGGTGATCCCCCACAGAGAGAAGGTGGTGTCCCGGGACAGGGGACGGGTGGAGGGGGGAGATCAGGAGGCGCAGTTATGTGCTGACTTTTATTCGCTGTTGCCTTCAAAGTGTCGGAGTTGACGGTATCATCAACATCCTCGGTCTGATTAGCATCATGAGAATATACGGGTACCTCCAAGAACTTGTTCTCTAAGAAGAGTTTAAGAACATAATCGGCGGGAGGGGACGTGGGTGACGTGAGACTCATTTTTACGTAAGTATCCTGGCCGTCATCAACACTATCGTCGGTTTGTGAACTCAGATCATCGGTTGACGGTGTCATTTTTATGTAACCCGAGTCCCGATTCATATCCTTGGAACATGGTGTCGGAAGGTCGAGTATTTCCGCTTCCGCCGGCAGTTGGGATACCCGGTCTCCGATAGTGATTGACCCGGTCGACCCTGCGCCGTGTAACGAGTCCTCGGATTTCCAGCTAAGACAAACTTTGATGTTCCTCATGTAGGAGTGGATCTTTTCTCTGCAAACCTGTACTGCGTTCTGGTAGCCTTGATGGGAGATCAGATCATCATTAGTGTGTGCAACACGGAACTCCATCTTACAAGTGGATGGTATTTCTACCAGAATGTTTTTCTTGTTCATGATAGTAGCGGCCACGATAGACTGCTCCAAATAACCCTGGTCGAGCTGTAGAAGGCCTGAGAAAATACAAGGCGTCGTGGGAACGCGTCCGTACACCAACTTCACGACGCAAGGCAGGTATTTACTAGCTACGATTTCGCTCATTTGCATAACGGGGCACGTGCCCTTTCCTGACGTCGTCGTGAGAGAGTAGAATAGACCGGCCTGTGCAAACGGAATGACAACCTCCCGATCTGCTTCATCCATGCAAAGGAGGAATTTTTCTGTTATCAGAGAACTTCGTCGTAAGTATTTGGATTTTTTCTTTGTTTCTGAAGTAAACATTCTGATTTTCCGTAAAACATCTCCAGGGAAGAGCATGCGCTGTTGCTCATAGTGGCTTTGATCACCTTCCTTTTGATTGGTCACTTGGAATGCTTTCACACGGTTTTGTCCGCCAATCAGGAACTTTTCCGTGTCAGACTGTGCGATGTCCTCAATCTTGGTGTAATGTGGTGCATTGTTGTCGGTCGGTCCGGCGTGAGTCCGTCTCTTCAATATAGCGAAGTAACCTACAATGGACAATGTATAAATGACATGTAAATACTTTTACTTTACAGAGGAAGATTAGCATGAAGAATATGATTCACAAAATAGCAAATCTTGATCATTTTGATAAAAAAGAACTACATAACGACTGTATTTGAATGTATGATTAACACGGAATCTACAAATATAGTAAGAACAACAGGCACAATTTTTAGTTAGTGATACCAACTTTTAGGGTGAAACTGGTATTGTTTCGCCGAGTAAAGAGAATGGCTAGTCTTTAGAATCGAGGCAAGGATACCTTGTCACAATTGCCTTTGACTCCTAAATATAATATAAACTTTATTTAATTTACAACAAGTATGAAACAACTGATGTTAGCGTGTGAGAGGTCTTAATGTGTGAGGACACCGGAGTACCCGGATAAAACCCAACGTGGTCAGGCAGGTGACCCCCTTTGACACCTTTAAGGGCGAGTCAAGGCTACGGTATTTAAATCGTCTATTGCATGTACGCATTAGGCCAAACCAAGAATACGATGTCTACAATAAAGTTGCCACTGATATCTACGAAGGACAGAACGTGTCATGTAGGTCTCTTAGACCTGTTACAGTCGATATTGCCAAAATAAATCTCATCCAATTAAACTTTCACAAAAATAGACATTCGCAAAACATCATGGATGTGCAGCATAAAGATACGGACGTAATACTCTCAGGAGTGTATCTACCTTTTTGTGTTCTCAGTGCTAAGCTTTTTGCATATTAGGTAACCATTTCTGTTTGCGTCACCTTCTTCTATAAACTTGTAATCATTTTTTTCCAAATGTCAGCCATGCTGGCTTAACATTTTGTATGACAAAGTGCCTGTTGTGATGAATTGTAATTCTGTTTTAATTCGCACAGACATCCTGATGCTAGGTGTCAGTAGTCGAGTGACATTTGGAGCGGTATCTGTTTTAAGCCAAACAGAAGAGGGATGGTAGTGACAACTTGTTATGAACGTGATTATACAGACCACGTGTGATGGATGTAGTATACAAATCAAGTGTGATGTACGTGATTATACAGACCACGTGTGATGGACGTGATTATACAGACCACGTATGATGGATGTATTATATAAATCACGTGTGATGGACGTGATTAGACAGACCACGTGTGATGGCCGTGATTAGACAGACCACGTGCGGTGGCTGAGATTATACAGACCACGTGTGATGGACGTGATTATACAGACCACGTATGATGGATGTATTATATAAATCACGTGTGATGGACGTGTTTATACAGACCACGTGTGATGGACGTGAGTACACAGACCACGTGTGATGGCCGTGATTAGACAGACCACGTGCGGTGGCTGAGATTATACAGACCACGTGTGATGGCTGTGATTATACAGACCACGTGTGATGGACGTGATTATACAGACCACGTGTGATGGACGTGATTATACAGACCACGTGTAATGGACGTGGTCAGTTACAAAAACCGCCTGTGGGTCAGCTGTCTCTACTAGTATAGCCACGTTGGTGGTAAATTCATAAGTGAACATGGCTGGATTAAATTTTATTTTATTTTAAAATGTTTTAAAACATCTTGATGGGCATATGTAAAACGTTTAGCAATTTATTTTTTCGATTTTGTTTTGTTTTGCGTCATTTGTTTGAATATTAAACAATATGGATCGCATATATACAATGCTAAATGTACCTTAGGTTGATGTGATAGTGTTTATAATAATATCGTGGTAGTTTTTATGTAATACGAAAATTAATTACGTGTCTTTATTTCTTTTGGTTTAGAGGTTTGTCTCCGGAAACAGCGCGTATATAATGTGACTGACCCCAGCTGAATGATTAAGTGAGGGAGAGAATGAAAGAGAACGGGAAGTGGGGGGAGCACGTGTGGATCAGTCATCTCGTGTCAATGGGTCCTCTGTGTGTCTGTATTTCCCTCATTGTATTGTATACTTTGTTGTGTATTCATTGGTGAAGTGCTAGACACAGTTTAAGTAGTGTTAGGTTAACAATTCTGCTTTTAACACTAAATAAACTCAAGATGGTTCCTGGACATATCTAAATAGGCTGTGATAAAACATGTTTTGATCAACTGGCATGTCCACCTTTGTAAACAAAGCCCCATACACGCTTACATTAAGAGATTGGTTTAAACATGTCCATGGCCAGTGTGTTGCGTCGCTTCATGCGTTATCTTGAATTACGTAATAAGTCTAAACGACGATTAGCTATTTACTTATTCGGTCTTGAAGGTCAGAAATTTACATATTTGGTCTTGAAAGACTGTCAGCTATTTCCATATTTTGTCTTCAAGGTCAGATATTTACATGTTTAGTTGTCCTGAATGTGGTCAGCTACTAGTATTTATGTTTTCGAGTCAAGCGGTAACTCACTCATATGTCCATCAAGTTAACAAAACCATAAAAAACATTAGTATTCTTTTGAAAATATGGATGTACTATAGTAGAATTTCTTTTATCTTTAAGATATGTGATAAACACAAAAACACACGTCTATATACGACAATACGACATATACGTATTCATATGACGTCATAGACAACACTCGTTTAATGCAAAGGCTAACTCTTCAACTCAGAACTCAGCTTATTTCTTACAAAACAGCGTATGTACGCAATGGTTGTATTGGCAAGTTCATATATGAGCATCCACATGCTCAAACAACGGAGTTCTTTTTGATATACACAAAAGAGAAAATTCAACATTATGTCTGAAAAGCTGAAAAACGCATATTTATATCCTTTATAGACCTGTTTGTAGCATTGAGATTGGCTATTTTTCACATACTGGGTTTGAACAATAAATAGAAACTTTCAATATCGGAGTTTTTCCCTCAATGAAATATGTACTAAGTATGTTAAAATGCAAAGTTCTGCAGATCAAACCACTAAAATCCTAACCGTCGTCACATGTTTATTACATGAGAACGTGTGGTACATTTTAAAAGTTAGATACCATTTATATGTAACGTGGCATAGTTTAGATTCGCTTAGAGTGTAAGCCTTGATATAGCGACTTAGCCACCGTGCTACGGCTAATTGCCGTGGGATCGTACATTTCAAGTTTCGAGTATCATAACCTAACGAATGGCGTCGTAATCATGTCTGAGAACTAATAACGTTTAGCGGTAACATTCTATTTACAATTTCTTTTTCAAAACATGGTCGTTTTCTGCCTAACAAGTAAATTAACATAAATTAATATTTGCATTCGAGCCTCTAATTTACCGAATACAAGATGGATAGCTGCGGGTTCTAACTACACATATGCATTGACCTTGTGTCCGGGAAGATTGGAAAATTAATTTTCATACCGGAAAATAGAATACAAACAATAAATAATGCATTATAACTATAAATGTTAAAATCACCATGAAACAGCGACCGGGAACTCTTGTTAAATTGACATACGGATGTATGCTCTCAGGACACGAAGAGTCATTCTGACGGCCATTTATATATATATATCCGCGTAAAGCGAGACTTTCATAATTGTGTATTGTCAAAGAGTTACTGGGGGCAGAACATGTATACCATCATTACAATCACAGATAATACAACGGAATGCGTCAATCCTAATTATATCTAAATCCCTTTTTATTCAATCAAGGAAATATATTCGTTCGTTTCCACATACTTTCAATATCCTGTTGTACGTACGTACAGGTATGCCACTAAAAGAGGAAGACGTGGGTGAATTACCATTTAATAATATAACCGGTATTTAAAGTATCGTGATGTCAATTTCAGAAATAAAAAGACACGCTATTCAAGAGAGTAATCTGAGCGATTTGTTTATTTTTTAAATTCGTTGAACATTGAAATTACATTGAGCAGCTGCGATACGGGTCTGACCAACGTTGCGGAGTTATGTAGAAATGTAATCACGTCTCGACAGCTAGACCAGATCCGTTTATAAAATTTAAAGCTGTCAGTTTGACTACTGATTATTTTTTCTTCAGAAGGGTAAGAACCTACACACATCGTCGTATGTACAGACTTATGCAAGCTGCCAATACATTTAAAACCAGTGATTTTAAATCTTTGTTAGATAACCTTAATACAGGTTGTAGGATACATTATAACGAAGGTGTATGACACACATGTATATCCCTACCTACGATCCGTGTGTGCGTTATGCGAATATGCACATATGCGGACCGTGGGGTGGAGATCTTCACGGGTCATGCCCTTTGCGATTTTGTGGCCAATGTACTTATGTTGTAATAAATTCAAACATATTTCTTTGTCACATAGTATACCTATAGGATTGGACACACGTAATGACACTACATAATTAATGCCTTTTACCAAAACAAATACAAGGTTCAACAACGTTTCTCTTAATTTATACAAAATATCATCAATTAATTACACGTGTAAGTTTTGTAACATTTTGTAGATACCTCTTTTAACGGGTACCTCATGAGTTGAGATGAAATTATAACCCGAATGTTTTAACAATTAGGATAAGTAGTTGTGGCTATTAATAATCCTATACCTTTGTAGTCCTCGGGGATGAGAAGAGGATCGCCTGCTTCCTGGTATTGATCGTTGTCGTCCACGAACAGAGTTCTGGCGGGAATCTTTTGGATGCTCCTCTTCCTGTAGAACAATAGCGGTTGGGAAAGGTCAAAGCTGAATCTTGACCTGTCCACCGGAATGGGACATTTCGTCGTATCACAAAGAACGACCACTGGGAAAGGAAACTTTTGAATGATCATAAAAATCGAATGTGTGCCGTCCTCGAACTCGAGATTCGGTTTTGGGATGACTGGTCCGGAATCAGCATGATTGTCAGGAAGGTCCGATTGTTCCTCGCAGGAATGCATTGTAGTTATAGGTCAGGGATGTAGTCCATTCCAGCTACACAACAAACAATACACGTGTAGCTGTCAACTGTAGATTTGTTTATGAATTATTTCCACCTAGCTTTCCACTCCCACGTAGCGTCACACAGGAAGATCACCACAAGTACGTATAGGAAATTTGTAAATACTAAACTGTTACACGTCCAATCTACACTCTTACCCCAGCTAAAGTGCAGCTATTAGAATAAATACACTGTAGTTTGAAGTGTTTAGTTCGTTCGTCATCTAGTGAAATAGCTGTGGCCAAACCCACACGACATAATATGTAGTATAACACTTTAACTCACTTCCGGCTGGCCGTGATGACATGAGTACCGAGCGATAGCTAGCCAGATTAAGGCCGTAATTCAGAGATCGGCACTATTTATTTATCGGCTTTTCCCGTGTAGTGTCTGTCACGGTAACTTTATGACTATTAATAACGATATCATCGTTAAGGTCTCTCATATAAGGTGTTGACGAGCCTTCGACAACTGGAATTTCCTGAACTGTATACAACACCAGTCGTACGCAATGGTTGTTTATCATACTGGCGTTTTTACAGACGTGTCTTTTTGCATCGCTGGTCATGTGGAACTAACATCAAAATTTTAGGGGATTTTTTGGGGTTAAATTTCCACATTGAATAGGTAACATATGAATATAGTTCGTCTACGTCAGACCTGCAAAATATCGCACATTATCGTCGATGTAGATTTCCATTGTGAAATATATTACCAGAACGTTATGTTTATTGTATCGTAGTGGTGGCGCAACACTTGCCAGGACATTAAAATTCACTGGGAACTTTATTAGGTTGTAATGTTTACGTTTTTGTATTGTAGAGCAACGGTTACATATATATATCAAGCTACAAGGCGGGCATATAGTTAATCTCAAATTACACAATATAACATTAAAGAGCTTATACATTTAAACAAATATATTTCCATTCCTATATAAAACATCACTTGCTTATTGACTTTTCAAAATGCCGTCTCGGGAAAGTATTCACTATTTAATTAAATATCACTAAGAAATATTGAATGAGTTCAAGATCGCTACACACTTCCACATATTGCATAGCAATTGAATTGGTCGGATATAAAAAAAAAAAAAAAAAAAAAAAGTGTCAGAAAAGACACTGTAATTTTGTTAATCGATACTGAAGTCGAAGACGAGTTGGTGCGTAATATCTACAAAGAATGCAGAAGTTATTTTAAGAAAAGTACTTGCGCAAAACAAAACCTCCATGTTCACATTCATACAGTTATTGTGTGTTAAGGCGAATTTATTTCTGACCGAAAAAAGCTATCAACCTAACTTAAATAGCTCAGTCACCATACTTTTCTGTCTGATGTGCTGTCTCTACATTTTGCAATATATGATATAAAGTGTTTACTGATAGGTTCTAATCTCCGACGTCTATACACGAATTCAATTCAGATTTACAAACACTTGCTTGACTGTCTTGTGACGAATTTTAGCAAAATATTGACGAAATCTCATTGATCGTCACAAAGCGTTTCAAATCATATGATAATGTGATGTTCCATATACATGTTAACTTTAGTGGATGGACAAAGAAAGCACCAAACCAATGGATTTGATTTCTGCACTTTGAAGAAATTATTATAATTATTATTATGTAGAGCTTATGGTGGGCATGGAAAACGTTGAAGCTTACGCAAGTTCCAGTCTACTCAGCTGTAAATAAGTACGTGGGTGGGCAGTGCTAGAATTGTTGAATGCTACAGTAGCTGTGAGCGCCGAAATGGCAGCACCAGTTGAGAAAGATATTGGCTGGTTGCAAAGGCCCTTTATAACGACGGATAATAACTTGTGAACCGCTTTGAAACGACCTACGAACTAGGTTGTGATAAAGCGGTATATAAAATCCTCGAATTGTTATAATTATTATTATTTAGAGCTTATGGTGGACATGGAAAACGTTGAGGCTCTTGCCCTGTTAGTAAATATAAAACTGGCCCTCGCAATCCCGTTTTTCCCCACGACAAGCATGTGTCCCCTTGTTGCTGAGCATTTGATAGTAATTAATGGTAATTGGGAATGTTAGGCCTTTGTTTTATGTGAATTTAATGGAATCAATATTGTTGCACTGTTGCATAAAAAATAGATAAAAAGTGTTTGGGTGGATTTCAAAGGGAGGTCTTAAAGGGAAGGTTTTCTTTTGAGGAAAAAAATAGCATTAGCTGATTAACATATATACGATTCACTATCCTGAGTTGTTTACACAAACCATTGCTCACCTTGAGTATGTTATAGTAGTTACGTAAATGTTATAACCCCGTGAACAAAAGTGAAATTACCATATGGGGCCTCTGATGTTTTATTTATCCATGGACTCGTCCTTTCTACAGGAAATGTTTTAGTGGCCATTAAGACCACAACAAACCCTCAATGGTACGGATAGTGTTATGTAGCTGAATTTTTCACAGATATACTCTGACTTCATTACGTGGCAACGCATTAAAAACAACAACGAGGAAACACCAGCACAGACTCTGTCGCACCAAAATAGGAAACACTAAAAACGGACACGCTCATTACACGGTCACAAAGCAAGGAAACACAAACGTATGGTTAAAAGATTCACCTGTTTATGGACGAAACAAAATAAGAACACATCAAAATGCCGACATATAGATTGAATATATGGATAAAGAGTGGCAAACAAACACAGGATATATTTTAATACATATTTGAGGGACCTTAATGACTGTTACAAATATAAGGTGATGTTTTGTGCGTGTCACTATAATTATTTACATGTTATGTCATGATTCTGTTAACTAATGCTGATTTCATTAGTCGACTTTACAATAATAAAATTCCAGTTGTTATTTATTCCTAGCAACGATAATATATCCTTTTTTTCTAAGAAATTCCCGAAAAATAATAAATATTCAAATGTTAAACTCATTTTTTCTCTATTTCTTAACGTACAGTGTATGTAAAATGCACAGTTTCCAAGAGGAAAACTAACGATGTATTTCTAAATTATGAGGCAGCTTGTAGATTTCCGACAATTCCTGTTGTGATATCAGATTAAAGTTTCTATCAAACCCCTGCAGTTTCTTTGAACAATGTCGATGAATTTGTTTATTCGTTTATCCAGCGCTTTTAGAAGCCTAGAACAACTGGTTTCCAAATAATGCAAAATTCTACCAGATTAATTTCACTTAACTGAAGACTGGTGCCTGTATAGAAGTTTTCAACATATCTTTTTTACATATAAGTTTAAAAAAAATATGTTTAAATTTCGGCAGCTCCTGCCGACCCGCGTCATTATCATTTTCCATTATTTTATGTTTTATTCTCATATGCGATTATCCGTATTCGCGAATTCTTTTTTGTTTTTGTTCAAAACAACTTGGCGTTTCTGGACGAATTTTATTTCATTTGGCATGTTTAAACCTACGATCTATCTGTACGTTGCTAACAGAATGCCAAAGTCGGATTTAAAAAAAAAATCACACCTAGTATCATGAGTTTTGTAATATATTTCTTGGAATGTAACTATTTACAACATTGGTTCCACATTTGGCTTCGGGTATAATATAAGTATATAGTTTCAACATAGAAGCGCCAGGAACGTCTCCTTGGCGAACTCCTCGTGTCACGTTTACGGCTTTTGTTTTCATTTATTCAATTACATACGGTTTTACCCATACAAGGAAACAATAAATAATTCCATATATTTCCACGTTTCCGAGCTCATTCAGATTTATAACAGATCATGTACACTGTCTAAGGATTTATATATACAGGAAGGCAGTGTACACGATGTAGATAGGCAATTTCCTTTTAGCATAGAATGAAAATTTTCATTTGCAGGAAATGTTGCATAACTTGGAAATCCAACTTGTCATGTACAGTCCACTGTCCATCTTTTCTAACAACACAATTCGGTCAGTTCTCCCTTAACTCTAACGTAAGAAACCGGTAGGCCGAAATATTGGGAGTTAAAGTGACATTAGTTCTATATTTCTAACAAGTAAAATGTAAACTTTATTCATTTTACAAAGATTATGAAACAAGTTATCTCAACTTATATTAATCACTCTTGTTAACCCGGATGTAAGCGCGCGGCGGGCCTTAATGTTCCTTTTACAAAATCAATGGAACACCAACTAAACCTCATAAAAACAACGGAACATAAATTAAACATTGGAAAAACAGTATAACATATAAGCACAACAACATAAAAACACAATAAAACATTAACTCAACATCGTAAAAACAATGAAACACCCACTCAACATCATAAAAACAATGGAACACGAACTAAACATCACAGAAACACAGTGATGCACCAATAACCAATACTTCGTCACAATACAATAAAACACAGACACAAGGTGGATACAACACGGTCACGGTAATATAGGGTCACAACACCACTACACACAAGGTGGATACAACACGGTCACAGTTATATAGAGTCACAACACTACTACAAACCAGGTGGATACAACACGGTCACGGTAATATAGGGTCACAACACTACTACACACAAGGTGGATACAACACGGTCACGGTAATATAGGGTCACAACACCACTACACACAAGGTGGATA